ATGGATGTGAAAAGTGGTTTTCTAAATGACTACATTTCAGAGAAAGTATTTGTTGATCAATCTCCCGATTTTTAAAATCACAAACACCCAGACCACGTTTTTAAACTTTCAAAAGCTTTGCATGGTTTGAAACAAGCCCCTAGAGCTTGGTATGATCGCTTAAGAAATTTTCTTATTGAAAAAGGTTTTTCTTGCAAGCAAATTGATACCACACTTTTTATAAAAAACAAAAATGATGATATGCTTATTGTTCAAATTTATGTTGATGATATCGTATTCAGTGCTACTAATGAATTTTTGTGCGAGGAATTTGCTAAGGATATGCAGGGTGAATTTGAAATGAGAATGATGAAAGAATTGACATACTTTCTCGAATTACAAATAAAACAAACCCAAGATGGAATTCATCTATCTCAAGCCAAATATTTCAAAGATCTGCTTAAAAGATTTGAAATGGACTTATCCAGACCTGCAGCAACTCCCATGAGCACATCGATTAAAATCGACAAAGATGAGCAAGGTAAACCAGTAGACGAAAAGAAATATCGAGGTATGATTGGTTACTTACTCTATCTAACTACTAGTAGGCCCAACATCATGTTTAGTGTTTGTGTGTGTGTATGTTTTTAATCTACTCTAAAAGAATCACACGTCACCGCAATAAAATGCTTTTTTAGATATCTTGTTGGTACTCCACTTTTGGGTCTTTGGTACCCTAAAACAAACGTTTTTGACCTTTATGGTTACTCGGATGCCGACTTTGCGGGATGTAGACTTGACTGAAAAAGCACTAGTGGCACTTGTCATTTTCTTGGAAATTCAATCACTTCATGGTTTCGTAAAAAACAAAATTACGTGGCTTTATCGACAACTGAAGCAGAATATATTACTGCCACTAGTTGTTTTGCTCAAATGCTTTGGATGAAACAACAACTTCTTGATTTTGGACTTCCCTTTGATCACATTCCTATTAAATGCGATAATACTAGTGCCATTAATCTTTTGAAAAATCCTATACAGCATTCACGCACTAAACACATTAAAATAAGGCATCACTTTCTACAAGATCATGTACTTAAAGGTGACATCAAACTCGAATTTGTGCCTACAAGCCAACAATTGGCTGATATTTTTACCAAGCCTTTCAACGAAGAACAATTCTACTTAATACGAATTGAGCTTGGCATGTTAAATATTCCTATGTAATGTTAAACTATGTGTTATTATGCTTCATTGTGAAATTTGCTGTGAAAAACACAAGATTTTGCCCTTCAGAACCCTTAAGTTTTGACCCCCTGCTCTATAGGGTCGACACCCTTGTGATCCAACCTTGTGCTCTTTGTTTTTAAGGGTCGACACCCTTCTTCGCTGGTGTTGACAGCAATTGGTTTTTGGTTCACTCCTTTTTAAGGTCGACACCTCTCTTTGAAGGTGTCGACACCTGATGTGTTTGAGGACACTACTTTTTAGTGTCGACCCCTCTTCATCGATGGGTCGACACCTGCCTTTGGATAAGCTTTTGTCACGCGGTCTTTTCAACTTCGAAGGGTTCCCCAGGGTCGACAACCTCTCAAGGGTATGTATTTACCCAGCGACCCTTTCATTTTCTCTTGCAACACCCATCAAAATCCTAGCCCTAGCTCTTTTCTATTCTAGTGACTCCCACTATCGATTCGCATTCCATTCTTCATCCATCTCTCTCGTGATCTCTTTTCTTCCTCTCTATGGATCCTCAAGCCCCTCTTCCTATTCCAACAAGGAAGCGACCATGCACCTCCTCCTCTTCCACCACCATCACTGCTTCTCCTCCTATGATTCGATTCAAGAACCATGACTACAGATCTACTTTCAACAAGGACTTCAACCTGAGAAAGGTACTCTTTGGTAGAACCATTGATATTGCTTTCTTTGAAAAACACTCCATTCCAGTAAAAGCTTGGTTTGATAACCAAAAATGGTGCTCCCTTTTGAAACTTAACTATGACATCTATCCCACCCTCATCAAGGAGTTCTCTTCTAATCTCTCTTACAATGAGGAAACTTCTCCTCATACATTAGATTGTTTTGTGAAAGGAGTGCATTTCACCTTGAAACCCTCTAACATCAACTCCATTTTGAAAACCACTAATGATGGTCATAGGGTCACTCCACCGGTTGGTTTTAAACCACCAACATACTCTCATCTTATTGGTCTCAGATTCCTCACAAATAACCTCGACCTAAATCATCAAGTCACTGTCGCTAGGAAAGATCTTTCCCTTGAAAAGAGACTTTAACATCTGTAACAACCCCGCCCTCTGATTTATGTTAATTCATGGTTAAATAAGCCTAATCAGTAATTAAGGTGAAATTCTGAATTTATTGTGTGTGTGATGCCTTAATGTGCTTATATCTGTCTATCGTAAAAATATCTGTTTCGTTCTACGAATTGAAGGCCTTATCGACATTCGGCCACGAAATTAACTTGATTTATGTGTTATTTGGAATTTTTAGGAATTTACGGTGGGTTCAATTAAAAGTCAATTTGGAACGAATTAAATTAGTCTAATTAATGCTCATTTGGTTAGAATAAGCCAAGGTTAATTAAGCTTCATTAAACAGGCCAAAATAAGGCTTATATTAGTCAAGCCACTCAACTACACACTCTCATTTTCCTCATTTTGAGACTCCAAACGTGTGAGAGAGACAGAGACCAAGAGAACAAGTGAGATTAACAAGGGAATGAGGAGAATTGCAAGGATTGTTGGGTATTGAAGAGAATTTTGAAGTTTAATCCTCTACACTTGTGAAATCAAAGTTTAAGGTAAGAATTCAAGCCTTTAGTCTTGACTTTGAATTGGTGAGTTCATGAATACAAGAGAATTAAGTTGAAATTGACTTAGAATTAAAAAGAAATGAACCATATCATGCATGCTTGCTCATTTCATCATAATTTGAAGTTGTTTTCAAAGTATTCCCTCTTGCATGTCCTTATTTTGACCATGGTTTGAGAATTCAACATATTTTTAAGTTAGACACCTCATTGGATCATGTTTTGGAATCTTGAAATTTACACCTTTACATGCATGATGTATATAGTTATGTTTTCAAAGAATTGGGTTTGGTTTTGCATACATCACATGCTCTTGAACCTTGATTTTGTGGAATTGATTTTGAATTCACCATGTTTTCCAAGTTTACAAGAGTTTCCTCAAGTTTTTGGCCCAAGAAACCATAATTTGTAGCTTTGGGGTTGAATTTGAAGCTTAGAAGCAAATTTAGAAATTCCATAATTCTGCTTCCACGCTCGAGCAACAAATCCCGCGCTCGAGTAACCACCTTAATTTTCACACTTTCGTTCGAGTGACCAAATGTTTGCACAAGCGTAAAATGCATGCTCCTAGAAGTTTGCGTGTTTTTCATACCGCTCGAGCGACAAAAGTTATGCTTGAGCGAGGGTATGCTCAAACGAGCGTCGAGCGAGCATCGAGCGGAAAAATCAAGCAACCAGCACTTTTGCAAAAGTTTACAGACTGCTCGAGCAATAGAAGTTGTGCTCAAGCGACCACTCACATTTTGCATGTTTGCTCGAGCGAAGGAAGTTGTGCTCGAGCGAGGACCCTGTTTTCAGCAAGTTTTGTTAAGTGTTTTCAAGTGCATTTTAACATCCTCATTGAATCCTAGGCATTCCTCGGTCAAGATTAAGAAACAATGATGGGGATAAGAAGTAGAAACACACCAAGGCATGAAAGAACCAAGTTAATGATTCCGGGTGTGTAATTCAGTACGTATTCATTCTGTATCTGTGTTGGTCACGCGCAACAAGATATTTGAATTGCCTACTCTGTCTGTTTACTTAGAGCCATTTGTTATCTATGAGTAATAACTTAGTAAAGTTATGTTCAAGTTAAATTATTTTCTATATGTGGAACAAGAGCTATTTTACAAAATGTTATGTTTTGTACTATGAATGATTGTCCAATTCTAACAAATATTTGTGACATTAAATCTGTGATTCAAGTATGCTATCTGTACCTGGACCGGAGGTTCCTTATGGAATCGACAAGTTATCTGTACTCGACTAGAGGTTCCTTACGAAACTGACAAGTTATCTATTCCCAGTCTAGAGGTTCCTTATGGAACTGACAAGTTATCCATTCCCAGTCTGGAGGTTTCTTATGGAACTAACAAGTATCACCTTTAATGCTTTGCATGAGATCTATTAGCACTAACGGATAAGCCATTTGATTTCTATATATGCTCAGAACAAGAATACGAATGTGAATCTATTTCAATATGAACTCTGGTTTCTGAATTAGTTATGGGACATCATTCATTTAACCATTTACTCTGTTATTATTCACTAGGTTTCCGCTCACTACTTATTTATGTATATAGGTGAGCATGCTCGTGACCAGGCTGAAGATGTTGCCTGAAGGATTTTGTGTTTGTTAGCCACCTTTTGCGCCTCCTGAGGAGGTTCCGAACTAAGTCAAGTCTTATGGCCATGTTTTGTGAATGTTTAAGACTTTGTTTCTTTTGATTTATGAACAAAATTTCCGTTTATATGTACATGGGATGACGTATAACTACTGTATCATTTGACGTCACAAGTATGTATAAAAAGTGTAAGATTATCTGTCCTATGTATGTCTGCACATCTCGATGGACTATATATATTTCTATATATTGCTTCCGCAGCCTCTAATTATAAGTTTGTCTATTAAGAGGCCTTTGGTAATCAAAGGATTACTGGCCCATTACGACGCTAAACCTTTAGGAGCGGGTTTGGATCCTGACAGAGTGGTATCAGAGCACGTGTTCTACTGCACACACGAGTACATATGAGCTTAGGATGTCTTAGACAAAAGTGGGGGCATTCCATATACATGTGTGAGTGTGTGTTCATTGAAAGTGAAAACTAAATCTGATTATGACCACATGATATGGAAACAAAGGATCTTAATATGGTAAGAAAGACTATTTGCCTATGTTTATAATGTTCTGTTCACCTATAGCAAATGGAAAATGCAAGAAGTGATGGAACAACTGAATCCTCTGAGGCTCGAATGAGTCGCATGGAACAAATGCTTGCAGCTTTAACAAAGGCAATGGCTCAACAACAGCAGAGGCAACAACCTTTGGCCCCTCCACCTCCGTCGGTGCAAGTTGAACTAGATAACAACGATATAATCATCTTAACCCAAAAGTTTATGAAGGTGAAACTGCCAACTTTCTTGGGTGGTATTGAACCCTTAAAGGCAAAAACATGGTTGCTTGAAATAGAAAAGCTATTTGAAGTGTTCCCTTGCTCTGCGACTCAAAAAGTACTCTTGCCCACCTACATCCTAGAGGATGAAGCCCGGAGATGGTGGTTGTTAGTTCGAAATAATAATGGGGACATGACATGGACTCAGTTCAATAAGATATTTTACAACAAGTACTTTTCCCAATGTTTCAGGGATCGAAAAGTGTCAAAGTTTCAAGAACTTAAGCAGGGTAGGATGTTCGTGGCTGAATATGAATCCAAATTCACCAAACTAGCTTAGTTTGCTCCACATATGGTGGATACTAATTACAGAAAGGCACGAAAATTCAAAGGCGGCTTAGATTTGGAAGTGTTTGACCACGTAGACGTCTTGAAATTGCCTACCTATATGGAAGTTTTAGACAGAGCGATAATGGCGAAAGCCACCCTAGCAGCAATGAAACAAGCCAAAGCACCAACAATAGAATGGAGAAGCAAAAGACCCGGATCCAATTTTTGGAAGGGCCATTCATTCTTCATGAACAAAAAGCAAAATACTGGATCTTCAATCAGTTCAAGCCAAAGTAATGGTTCTATGCCAATTTGTTCAAAATGTGGAAGGAAGCATAAAGGCATGTGTCATCATGCATTGGGTGCATGTTTTCGGTGTGGCAAAATTGGTCACATGATTAAGGACTGTCCAATGAGGTTTGATAACGCAAACCCTCCGGCAACAAGTTCAGCCGGATCTGCTCCTTTAACGAGGACCAATGCAAGAATTAATGAAAGGAGTAACACCGGGAATGAAAAACTTAAGCAAGGGAGAGTGTTCGCACTAGTATCTGGGGATGTACAAAATACTAAGCCAGTGGTGTCAGGTATAATTTCTATTTGTGCACAGAATGCCTATGTGCTGATTGGTTCTGGTTCTACGCATTCATTTGTATCGCATGCTTTTTCTCGAAAGTTGACTAGATCATTTGAACCTATGAATTGCATACTATCTGTGTCTACACCATTGGGAAGTTCTATGATGTGTACTTATGTATATCCGGCATGTGATGTTTTGATTGGTGATATGAAATTGTACGTTGACTTGCTGCCTTTGAGCATTGACCACTGTGATTGTATATTGGGCATGGATTGGTTGTTGAAATATTGTGCCACTATTGAATATGTGAATAAAACCATCACGTTTAAACCACCTGGTATGCCTGAGTTTGTTTTCACTGGGAATAGAGTAGTTTCTCCACTGTACTTGATTTCATTTATGAAAGCTAGAAAATTGTTGAGGAAAGGTTGTCAGGGCTACTTGTGTAGTGTGTTGATTGTGTCTTTGGATAGTACCAGTGTGGAAACTATTCCTGTGATTTGTGAAATTCCTGATGTGTTTCCTAATGACCTACTCGGGGACTTAATTGACAGAGAAATTGAGTTTGCTATTGATGTAGTACTTGGAACACAGCCTATCTCTAAGACTCCTTATAGAATGTCAGTTTCTGAACTGAATGAGTTAAAAGGCCAACTCCAGGAACTCTTAGACAAGAAATTTATACGTCCGAGTACCTCACCTTGGGGAGCTCCAATGTTGTTTGTCAAAAAGAAAGACGGGTCCTTGAGGTTGTGAATTGACTACCGTGAGTTGAACAGAGTAACTGTGAAGAACGAATATCCATTACCTCGAGTAGATGACCTGTTTGACCAACTCCGGGGGGCACAAGTGTTCTCTAAGATAGACCTTAGATCCGGCTACCACCAGCTAAAAGTAAAAGCAGAGGACATCGAGAAAACCGCTTTCCGAACTAGATACGGGCATTATGAATTTTTTGGTCCAGCCGTTCGGAGCAAGAAATGTACCTACAACTTTCATAGACTTAATGAATATGGTGTTCAAGCAATTTCTTGATGAATTTATTGTTGTATTCATTGATGACATACTAATCTATTCTAAAAGTAGGGAAGAACATGAGAATCATCTGAGAACTGCTTTACAGATTTTAAGAGAAAAGAAGTTGTGTGCAAAATTGTCCAAATGTGAATTCTGGCTTGACAGTGTGGCATTTTTGGGACGTGTAATCAATAAGGACGATATCTCTATTGATCCTCAAAAAGTTAAAGCCATTGTGGACTGGCCAAGACCAACTAATGTGTCAAAAGTTAGAAGTTTTCTTGGACTTGCAGGCTACTACAAAAGATTTGTGAAAGACTTTTCAAAATTTGTTGTGCCTTTGACCCAGTTAACTCAAAAAAATATATCACTCGATTGGAACAATCAAAAAGAGTTTGCCTTCCAAGAATTGAAAACCAGATTAGTAACTATATCGATTTTAACTTTGCCTAATGGTACTGATGGGTTTCAAATTTACAATGATGCATCCTACAAAGGTTTGGGTTGTGTGTTAATGCAAAATGGTAAGGTGATTGCTTATGCTTCTCGGAAACTCTGAACACATGAAAAGAACTATCCGACACATGATCTTGAACTAGCAGCTGTGGTTTTTCTATTGAAAATTTGGCAACACTATTTTGTTTGGTGTAACTTGTGAGGTATATACTGATCACAAAAGTTTAAAATACTTCTTTACCCAAAAAGAATTGAACATGGGACAGAGAAGATGGCTGTAATTGATCAAAGACTATGATCTGCAAATTCTGTATCACCCGGGGAAGGCAAATACCATTGCAGATGCATTGAGTCAAAAATCCATTGGGAATTTGTCATGTTTGCTCACCGGCCAAAAAGAATTGTTATGTGTAGACCGCCCGAACTCGCTCTGCGCGCGAGGGCTCGAATTATGTTCTTAGCTACTACAGTTCGGACTCCTGTCACGGTTCTGAATCTAATCTCGCAAAGTGTAATGTAAGACTGATAAATCATGAAAGAGTCTAAATCTGGCAATTGGTTCTGGAAAATAAATTTAATCAAAAAGCGCCAAACATGGACTGCTTTGCTAGATTTCAGAGTCGCTACCCAAATATTTTATTTTGGGAAATTTAGGAAATCCTGACTCGTGCCTAAGGCCACGTATCCGTCATCACCAAAGTTGCCTCGGTTCAGGAACTTTTGTACGAGAGAGGAAGGTCTTGAAATGAGCACCCCCGCTCGCCCGATCAAAGGATTGTCCTTTACTAATATGATATGTTGTTTTGAAAACACATGTGTTCTTTTTCCGGTTATTAACTAGCTTACTATGTGATGCGCACAGCACACAAGTATAGACTCAATCACTCAATTTAGAACAAAACATCTCATTTTGTTTTTTGAAAGTGGTTTGAAGTTGCTACCCTCAAGTAGGCTAAAATGTGGATTTTCCACCCTCAAGGGGACTTAAAACATGAGTTGCCACAAACAAGTGGGCTTAAAACGCACATTTTGATGAATTGTTCCAATTCAAGCAATGAAGCCTTCATCCACAGGCATTCATGCAGTTAATCACTTAAGCACATAGCCTCATGGCAAGCATGCTATCATGGCAATCACTTACACGCATGCAAGGGTGCTAAAGCATAAACACTCACAGTGTACTTCAAGCCAAAACAAAAGCTTGTTAGTAATCAATGCATGATCCTAGCTTATGTCAAGTGCCAAATGCAACACGTGCAAAATGCAACTAAAATGGCTCGACTATCTAAGATGGCATATGAATGCAACACTCGATAACATGCTTTGAAATACGTATTCAAGTAAGTATTGAAATACGATGTAGTTTGAATGATGCGCCGAGCCCGGTGCATGCAAGACAAATGAATGATGCAAACATGCAAAGCATAAGGTATGCTAATTGAAATATACCCTAAACTAACCACCGAAAGTAGATAAGTAAAAGGGAGAAAGACGCGGGGTTGGAAGACATTCACACACACACGCACACTTATTACAACATTTTCCCTCTCGACGGAGGGTCCGAATAAATAAGCTAATTAGTTACGCTAAGCTAAGCTACAACTACAAACCAACTAATTAACTAACTATTCTGGCTAATTAATTATTACAAACCAAATTGAATAACCAAATTGAATAACAGCACAGGTAATTAACTACAACTAGCCAACAAAAGCGATAAATGGCCTTGCGGGCAAGGGAGATATGCATGCTCGGTTGCGTCCTCTCGGAAATCCACCGCCTTGCCTCAAGACACTTCCGTTTGCACTCTTTTGAACCTTTGATAATTACACCGATTTCCATATTGCTTCTTTCTGATCTCAAGGACACCTTGAGGGCGAGAATTCCTCCTGTTGCTATAATAGAGCACAGATAGAGGCAAGACAGTGTATTTGCAAGAAAATGTATGCACTTCCATCCTCCTTATCATATCTCAAGCTCAAAGGAGTATGGCACTTGACTCTCGAGCCAACAACCAAGCATTTTCAATGCATGATGGCCGAAGGATCAAGCTTGCGCAAAACTCAATGAATGCACACATAAGACTCGAAAGGCCTCCACCCTATCATGCGCAATCAACGGCATCGGCGACCGAGAAATGTGACACGTTTCAGTACTATGAGTATGAAACGTCCCACATTTCTCGTGTTTGGATTAACTTCCGATCCAAACACATGCAATACAAACAACATGCTTATCTTGGCCATGTTTTACTTGATTCATTTTGTTTACATATTTTAGATTACCAATTAGTCTCTTAATCGGTTAAGTCCAAAAGTGAGAGTCCTGTAGTTTTGAAAGAGTGAATTAGTGGGATGCAATGGCATATATTTCAGCACTGAAATGACATGTTAAAGACGCTAAATCATGCAAGACATGTTAAAAGCCAAAAACACTAAGGCTAGTGAAGAGCATCACACAAGAGGCATGCAATATCAAGCACAAATGGTCAAACCAGCTACGGACGGACCTAAAACATGCCAAAATGGAGGCTGAAACATGCTGAAATGATAGCCCAAAAGCCTAGATAAACATGCATGCAAGTTGGCCCACAAGCGAAGCATAAGGCCCAAACCTCAAACATAACAAAAGGGCGATAAATTCAAGAATATGGCTGAGGTATATGGTCTGAAATAACATGCCAAATGATGCTATGCCATGCAAAAAGCTCAAATATGATATGCTAGAGGTCTCAAAGTGCAAGGCTAGCAAAGCCAAATACATTATAGCTATGCAAAGCCAAACAAGCATGACCAAAACCACTCAAATTAGACCTAAATCATGCTAAAACATAGCCAAAAATGTGCTGGAATAGAGCATACACATGCTAGATCAATAGCCTAAAACACCAAATACACTAGGCTAGTGAACAAAATTGCACTACAAGTGCAAGGAGCATGCAAGAGGCAACCAAACCA